TGAATATAATAAAAAATAAAAATTTATCTAAATAAATTATAATGTTAAAATGTTTTTTTATCTTATTTTAGTCTATTTAAATATATATAGGTAGTGTACTAAATATAAATCATAATTAAGAAATTAATATCAAAATTAGTAGCCCTATTACATTATTGTGAAAATTAAAGAAAGGACATTACTTTTTGATTTGAAATATTGTCTAATAACTTTTGTATACTGTTTTTAGATTTTAGCTTTGATAAGAAATTGACAACATTCAGATTTCAATTCCTGTTCATATAGAAATGTTATGGGCTTTCACATAAAAATGGTGCATGATGATGTATAAATTCCTTTATGGTACAGCACGAAGTGAAATTCAGAATCTTAAAAAAGACAAGACTTGACGTAGCAAGAAAAAAGAAAAGAACCCAATACTATTAAGACGGGGCATATTTGATACTACAAAGATTTTTGTTTTTTTATTCAATTAAAAAACTTTAAATTTTCTTATTTGAATATTGGATTATACATATAACTTTGATTTTTTGAGCAAATTTCGAATTTTATTTTCTAAATTAAATAACCTTTTCAAATTTTCAAAAATTTCATTCCTACCCCTATAAAATCTCAATATTTCAAATAAATCCTGAATAATCTTAACGATTTGATATTTATAAAAAAAATTTCAAAATTAAGTATTCAAATTTTGTTCTCGTTAACTATTTTGTATTATTAACTAAAATTGTCAATTAAATACTAATGTGAAAACTATTGATCTAAAAATATATCATGTGTCAAGATATTATTGTTTGTGTTTTGATCACATCAGCTTATAATTAATAAAATTAGTGTGTAAAATAAAATATTTGATGAAAATAAAATTATATTTAATCATAATTTTTTATAATATAAAATCATAAAAATTTTTTATAATTCAAAAACTAAACCACGTTAATCTTTTTTATTAAACTAAAAAAAAAAAATCAGAACTAAAAAACAGCAAGTAACCCCAAATCCCAATCCCAATCCAATAGCCGTTAGCCCGTTACCACGCCACTGCATTAGCAAAAGAACGAGGAGAGGATTCTTTCTCCACTTCTTAAAAATTGGGGAAAGGTTTCACTTCTTTTATCTAAGGTGATAAATGTATTTTTTAATTAAATTTATAATAAATATTTATTTAAATTATTTTTATCTTTTTAATTAATTTTTATTTATTTTTACATTTAATTTAAAATTATTAAATTTTAACCATATATTTAATTGGAAGTGCATTTATTAACCTTAGATAAAGCAGTAAAAACTTTTATTAATATTTAAATAGTGGAGATGATCTTTTTCCAAAAGAATAAATTTAAATGAAACAAAAGTTTAAAACCCTCAATCCCATGCACTTGATAGGCGGGTTTACACATGCACACGTTAACTCCTTCGCCCACTAAACGTATTTGCTAGTAAGTGGTGATCATCCAAAAAATTATAATGATTTATACATATTGTTTAGATCATCGAGTTTAATAAGTACCTAATAATTTTATTGACAATTATATTTGATCATCGAGAGTGATTAAATTATTATATTAAATAATAATTTAATTCTCATAAAAAAAATGAAAAATTTTTATTAATTAAGTGAAGTGATCATGTAAAATTAACAATAGTTAATATTACTCGTTTCATTTGTGAAATAAAAACTTAATTCCTCTCAAAATTATAATTATTTTATATTTTCAAATTAATATTGATATATTATAACAAATTCAAAAATAATTTGTTTGTTTTCTTTTAATTTTTTTAAATATTTATATATAATATAATCATTTTTCTTTTGTTATGATTTAATCTATTATTTTTATTTTCTAATGCAATTTGTTTTACAAAATTCAGATTATAAAAATTAATTTATCTGTTAATAAGTATAATTGTTAATTTAATAAGTTAACTATATATTTTAATGAAGTAAAAAAAAATATTACTAATATTTTATAAATGATTATCTTTCAATAAATTGAAATCATTAACTCATGCAACTATTATAATTTGAATAATTATTTTGGTACTTTTAAATAAAATAATGTTTAAGTTTTAGTAATATTAATAATCTTTAATTCTTAAAATTTAATGATGGTTAACCAAATAAAGTGATTTTAAATCACAAGTGATAAGATTGACTTAGCAATAAAATCACCATAGCAATTAAATTATCATAATGATTATAAAAATTTATCAAATGCTATCTAAATGTGTTGATTCAATCAATTTGATTAATTTTAAATCATATTAATTAAAATTGAATTAGTTGAATTATAATATTTTATTTTTGTTAATAGAACTTAATTTATTAATTTTAAAAATTTAATCTACCAAATTTAATTTAGTTAAGTTTTAAATTAATCAAATAATAAAACACATTTAAGTTAAATTATATTTTAAACTCTTAATTTCTCATATTTAAAACAAACTGAATAAAATTATCTAACCAAATATTCAAAATTTAAAATATTAAAGTAAAAAATTAATAATTTATTAAATGAACTGGTTTATTTTATCTATTTTTAGTTTTTTATTTGGGGTTTAGTTAATCAAAAATTAAAAATTTTATAAAATTATTTTTAATAATTGATTTAAATTAATTCAAGATTCGGTGGATTCAAATTAAATAGATTTGATTAATTAATTAAGTTAAAATAAAAATTTGAATATCTTTAATTTTTTAGTTTCTTCACCTTCCCTTCTCACACTTTTAACTTCCTTTAAGAAAAATTTTAAGATAAAAATTTAATAATAATTTAAGTATATTTAAGCATTTGATATTTTATTATAATTAATTAAGTTTTAATATATTATTATGAATTAATTAAATTTTTAAATATTTATTTTTACTCGAATGAACCCTTAAATATATTTTTTACTAATTAAACCATCGATTGTTTGAAAATAGTTAATCATTTTTTTAAGGATTCAATCTTTGAAATAAATGTTTATGAATTTTACTAATTAAAAAATAAATTAGATTATTTTTTAATTTTAATTTAGGAATTTAGTTGACTCTTTTGCCAATAATTTTCCACCGGAAAACTAACATGAGTTAACACGCAAGAAACGGTGTACGCAGGTGGAGGAGGGAAAGGTGCATAGAATAATAAGCCTACTGGCGGTAGTGGAAAGATGACAAGTTTTTCTTAAAATGAATATTATATTTTTTATTTTCTACAATAAATTGTTAATGGTAACGCTGTTGACTCACTATAAAATTAGATCACGACAACACAAGGACGAATACAACAAGTAATAATTAAAAAAAATAAAATGGAAATTAGACGAAAGAATACAAAATAGTAGTAGAAAAATTAATATAATCATTAATAAAATTTAAAAAAATTAAGGAAAAAATGGGGAACAGTTTGAAGGGGTGTTTTAAGGTGTCGTGTTCCCAGTAGGATTGGTGTTGGGAATAATGGGATTGAGGGGTTTGGGAGAGTAGGCGCTTGTTGGATTTTTCAACTGGATTTTTTTGCTGCTTCTGCTTTTTGCTGTTTTTGGAGCTCAAATTTTAGCGGGAAACTTGTTCTAACGACCCTCTAAACCAAAGGTTGGTTTTTTTTTTTTTTTAAGAAAAATTTTGGTGGGTGTTTGGTTGCCGGGAAAGTTGGGGAAAACCAACAGAAAACAAAATACTCAAAAAACGTGTTTTTGAAGCTGGTTAAGTTGTTTAAAACAGAGGGTTCTTCCTTTCTATAATTTTTAGTATCGTTGTTATTCTTTGAATTAAAAGTTGTTTTGGTAATTTGACTTTTCCTCTGTATTTTTTTTCTCATAAGATGGAAATTAATAAAGTATTAAAAATTCTTTTTTTTTTTTTTTTTCAGTTGAAACAAGTTATTGGGGTAGCTTTTCTTTTTTCCTTCTTGTCCGTATCTTTTTTTTTTTTTTTTTCTGGCTAATTTGATTAGTTCCGGGCATAGCATTTGATTGTTAGTTATGCATCTTTTGCTCTCTTTTCTCTTCTTGGCTGAAATGCTTTTGGTTTTCTTTTTTTTTTTTTTTCCTGAATTCTTGAATTTTATTCAGAGGTGAAACTAGATGGAATAAAATATCGATTAGGCTTCTTATCATATTTATTTTGTGAGTTTGATTTTTTTTTTATTTGTTGCTATTGAATGTCTCAAGTAGATATTTTCAAATCTTTTTTATCCAGATTCATATGTATGGCCTTATTTTAGTTTACTTTTAGTTCATCTCCCCTGTTTTAGTTGATCGGAGGCGATTTAATAGGACCTGCAATTGTTTCAATGCCATCCAATCTAATTCTGAAGCAGAAGTAACAGTTTTTCTGCAAGTTTTATAAATGGTTTGTGCATATTAGAAAGGTCCTATGCAAGAATATCTTGCTATATATAATGGTAATGAAGAATTTTAGGAGTACAAATAGGTCCACCATGAAGGCAAGGGAAAAGTGAACAGTGAGCTCCAATAATGGCAAGAGTTGACAGCTTAAGACTGAGAGCTGGATAGAGGCGTATGATATGAAAAGAGGGATGTCATGATTGGTGTTCAATCTTTTCTTACACTTGGATACAACTAAATTGTGTTTTCCGAGAAAGCACTAAATTCAAGTTGATTTTGCGTCATTGATTGCCCTTAGCGGAATTATAAACAACATGGGCTGGGGAAGTTTTAAAAATATCTCTGCTCATCCTTTATTCACTGATCACTATACTCTATGACTGCACACTGCATTCACTGAGTGTTGCCTATGCTAATGTCACCATAGATTTATCTTCCTTAATTGATAAGCTTCTATAACGTCTGTATCGAAGAGGCTAACTAAAGTCTCATGGTGTTAGGTAACTTGATAGGTTATTATCAAGTTACTTTACAGCAGCAGTTATTGACACAACTGAATTAGACTAGGGAGGGAATGGGAACTTTATTTTAGAATATCAAAAGTAAGTCAAAGGGGGAAACCAGAAAGAAGATTAGACAAACCTGTATATGTGGATACGCTGTTGCAGATAGGAAATGGTTATAAGATAATAGGATTGTTTGCTTGTGGAAGTACAAGGATCATGATTGTTGAAGCTGTTATCTGGTAGTATCTTTAACTCCTTTTTCATTGGTTCAGATATTAGGAGCTACTTTTTGCCTTTTTACTCTTGCATATGTTTTCCTGAAGTACTAGCCAATAAAAATTTTTTAACGCAGTGCTTGTTTGAGTTCCATGATAGAATAAGGAATTTACTGTTATTATTCTCTTTTTTAAGATGTTTCTTTAATTCTTTAACTAAACTTCCATGTTGCATTTGAGAGGTCACTGAGGCTGATTCTACTCTCTTTGATGGTCACATGCCAAGTCCATCCTGAATGCTCAGTCTTTCTGTACTGTGATCGGGCCATGTTTAACAAAATTTGCTTGCAATTGTAATCTTGAAAATTGACCCTCTCTTTCTCATATAAAACCAATAAAATGGTTAAATCACAAATAATTCATTTATTTTAAATGAGATTTGTGTTGGAAATATATATTTTTTGCATACGTAAATATGGATAATTTTATTAGAAAGAAACGCTCATTATCTCTCCTGGAATTCTTTTATTTTGCTTTCTCATGGAGATAAATGGTTCTTGTGATCTAGTTATCAGCATGATGTTTAGGAAATAAAAAACATGATTAATTTAAACTCACTTTGAACATGCCTTTTCTTCCTTAGTTAAACGTCTTAGAGTTATTTGTAGATGATTCTCAATTTAGAATGTCAGTTATCTGATTGGAATTGTCTTAAATATGCAGAAAACATAATAACCAATGAATATTGTCTAATAAATCAGATATAAAAATTTCCATAGATTCCATTTATTTGTGCTGCATCTTTGTCAATTTTAGTATTCCTGAAGGGTTGTCAATTAAATTTTATAATCATCTTCTCTGGTGCTTGTCACATGTTTGCTGTTATACCTGTTCTTCTTACTCGTAGAGCAAAGCTTATACGTGTCCATGTGTTGTTTCCTTCTGAACTCTATATGATCTCAAATGCCTCTATCAATTTAACTTATGGAAAAGCTGCCTCCATTTTCAGTTCAAAAAGCATGAACTCTCCATCCACCCAGTTTGTACCTTCAAGAAGGATGGTTATCTATGAGCCTATCCACCAGATTGGCACGTGTGGAGAAAATTTTAAGAGTAGTGTTAATCCACATACATCTTCATCACTGATTGTCGAAGCAGATTACAAGATGGAGAATGAGGTGAAAATTTTGGAGATATTATTCTTTGCTTTGTTGCTAAAAAAATATTTATCTGATTTTCGAGATAAGTAACCTTTGTTATTTGAATTTTCCAGTCTGAGACTGGGTCACACGAAATGCTCGCACCTTCTAATAAGTATGACCAAGAAGCAACTAAACCTATTGATAAGGTAAGTTTGAATTGTACATGGTGCTTAATTTTTATTTCTTTTCTCATTTTAGTGGATTAAATATTGTTCTGGATCATGATGTACGATCTTGGATAGATTGTATCTGTTGGTTTTTTGAAAGATTCTATTTTGGAATTTAAAAAGATGGTATTACTTTCAGTTCTTGACTTTTAGGTTCCATTCCATTCCCCTGATCATTTCGTAGGGCATGCAGATTTCAGCCATCCTATGCACATTCTTTATCTTGCAAACAAGCAAGCTATATTCTTGCCATCACAGATTTCTAATGTACTTTTTCCCATTTTTCTTCCTTCTGAATCATATTCTTGTGTTTCCTAAAAGAGTAGTGGCTTCTAGTATTTAGAAATCTTGCAGTTCTGAGATTTGGTCAATGTGTGGAAGCTTTTAATTTTTTTAAGACGAGTCTTGGAAAGCAATTGTGGTGTTTTTCCATTAGTTCATGCTAATGGCATGGATGTTTTGTAATTTTCTAATGTTAGCCTGGAGATATTTTTATTTTCCACTAGCTAGCCGCCTACTCTTTTGTTAATTTCTAGGCTTGTATGCGGCTGTGCGTAGCTCAATGATCTCCCCTTCTTCATTAACATGCATATTATCTGATCAATCTAATTTAAATGGAAAAATTATGTGTACCTCAACCTCAAAGCAGTTCGATTCGTAGCTGCTAAGTGTCGTATTAATTGTTTTAAGTTTGTTGATGATCTGTTTACCTTAAATAGGGGTCTAATCTGTTTGTGCATTTTACCTTTGATACCTATAGATACAAAGACGGCTTGCACAAAACCGTGAGGCTGCTCGTAAAAGCCGTTTGCGGAAAAAGGTAAGATGGATATGGATGTGTGCTGAAACAGATGGCCAGAAGGCTACATGTGAATTGTTGTAATAACTTGATTTGGCATTGCCTTTCAGGCATATGTTCAACAGTTAGAACATAGTCGTTTAAAGTTGATTCAATTGGAGCAAGAGCTTGAACGAACGAGCCAACAGGTTTGAAGAAGATTAATATCATTCTATTTTTTCTTTTTTTGTGATTTTAAAAATGTTTAAAACCACTTAAGCAATAAACCTTTATTGCAGGGTCTTTATATGGGTGGTGGGTTAGAAGGTGGTCATCTTGGATTCTCTGGAGCAGCAAACTCAGGTTTGTTGTCAAAACACTAGCAGTTACTGTTATTACTTTTGAACTCCTCCTTCGAAATATTGCTTTGTCTTGTTGAAATTATATAAGAATTTTTAGTTGTGCCAGTATCTGACATTTCATACTGTATGAATGCTTGTACTTTGAGACTTACAATTCATGTCTTGTTTCTATTTTATGTGGTTAGATTGATGTTCAGATTAAGTGTTACATGTTTTCTGAAATGAAGCATGAATTTTGTATTTGAAAATTATTGCTTACCAAATTATTTGGGAAAAACCTTTTTAATCAAAATTTATTGGAACATATTCTCAACACACAGAATAATGCCCAAGTTGAAGTCATATATTGCTAATATTGTTCTGTGATATCCTTCTATTGGATACTTTTTTTTTGCCCCCATCTATTCTTTGTATTCTTGCTCCTCTAAACATTATATATTTCCTAATCTGCTAATCTTCTATGAGCACCAATATGTGCACCCGAAAGCATTAAACCCCCTGCACCTTAGTGAAGAATAACTTCACAAGAAACCAACATGAGCAAGCCATTTCTTGTCTTCTGAGAAAAGGCATTTAAACTTTTTCTCGAATTGCAGTTGACTTTATTTCCTCACGAGTAAAAATCTCGACAGATTTCACTTTGTTTATTGGAAGTTACAAGTTTTTCAAGAGAAGTTACATATTGTTTATAATAAGACCCTAACTTCATTTAGGGGTTAATTTCACACCTCTAGAGAGAAGCTGCTTAAAATTTTCTCATCTTATCGTATTTCTGAAGCCCACTTTTCTGATATTGATAAACTTTAGCTGTCTTTAACTCTTCATGAGTGTGTAGTTCTTTTCACATATATTGATTTGACACCTTATGAAAAAAACTGTTTCAACTTTTCTCAGCTCGTCACATCTTTGGAGCCCACTGGGGTGCACGGGGTCTGTGTCACAGTCTTGGAGTTGAGTTAAAAATCTTATATTGATTGTATATTAGAGTTGATTATCGGATATAAAGATTCACACATTTTTTTTCTTATGAGATTTTTTTGTGGGATAAAATCATGTGATCAGAGGGGTCATGTGGATAATAAATAAAAAATGTGTGAATCGTGATAGGTAGGCTATTCAGAGATGTCGAATTAGTGTATGCCTGGATCTTAGAGGTTCGTGTGCTTGGAGGTTGAGTCTCGACCCGTAACAAGTGGTATCAAAACCAGCTCTGGGAGTACTAACGATGTGCCATCAAAGATGATGGCCCCTCATTGGAGTAGGGGGGAAGTCATGGTTCTGGAGTAGAGTTAGGAATCACACATCGGTTGTATACTAGAGTTGGTCATGGGATATAAGAGTTCACACATTGCCCCTTTTGTGAGAGACCAGAAGGGCTAGAGTGGACAATACCTCACAATGGTGTGAACTGTGATAGGTAGGCTGATTTGGGATGCTGGATGAGTACATACTTAGATCCTAGAACCATGCGAATCCAGAGGTTGAGTCTCGACCTATGACAGTTTGCCTATCTTTTGCTACATCTTTTCACATATGCTTGAAAATTATATAGCTTATTGTTTGAATAAGCTATTAGAAACTACATTCTTTATTTTGTAGACAACATATTATTATTATTATTATTATTTATTTATTCTCTTTTTTTCTTTTTCTGCTAGCGGCTCTGACAGCCGCCTATAACTACATTGCCAGCAGCCTTGACAACACCGACAATCGTTCTGATAGCCTGTGGCTGCCTTAATCCTAGGTGACCAAAATCCCAGATTTTTTGGGATTTTGATCTTTTTTCTACTTTATAAATAGAGCAATGAATCCGAAAATGAAAGAAAAAGGAGGAGACCCTGCCAAATAAATAGTTTCTAGAATAAAAAAAAATTTTCTTTATGCCCTAAAAAAAAAACCAAAATAAAAAAAACACAGTTCTCCCCATAAGGAGGAGCCTCAGTGCCAAAAGCCACCTACACCAAAGAAAAAAAAGATAGTTAGTGTGGGTTTTCAAAAATTACAAAAAAAAAAGAGAGAGAACTCAAGAACTTTAAACCCTGCTCTACGCTGATCGGGGTGGTTTCTCACAAAAGGAGGCTGGATCTAGAACAAGGAGGTTGAGTAGAATTTTTAAGGTTTTTCTTTTACGTTTTTTGATCATTGGCGTTCATTGACAACGACCATCGGTAGTGACCACAGGTGGTGGCCGACAGGAGTCTGGCATCGGATTCTGGCAATGCCAGAGAGTGTTATTTTTTAGAGTTGAAAATTGTTTTTTGGAAGAAGGTTGAAATGAATTAAAAAAAAAGTTGACTTTATATAAAAAGCCAAAGCCCAAAACGACATCATTTTGGACCACGAAGGATTCACGCGTGGACCCGAATTTGACCCCGGATCCATTCAACCTGACCCATTACTCGCTTTTGCCTCAGCCCAAGATCGGTTCAGTTGAACCGGTATCAAACCGCTAGTGAATCGGTTTGGATCGGTCAGAACTGTTGAACCGCCAAATCAATCAGACGTGATCGAGTTACCGAATCGGCCTAGACCCGCATTGACCAGACTGATGATCGATCTGATTCATGTAAAAAAATTTTTTTTATTGAATTTAAAATTTTTTTTTGTTATTTTAAATTTTATTATTAATATTTAAGCATGTTAAAATATATTTATATTCGTTAGAATAAATTTTGTTGTTTTATAATAATAATTAATAAAAATAAATAATGAAATATATAGAAAAAATTTGTGATAATTTTGTTATTTTTTAAAATAAACTTTATAATAATAAAATAATAAATAATGTAAGAAAAAGAAAATTTTTATCTGATGATGAAATTCAAAAGTACTCCAAATAGTGATACTTACGAAATTTTTAGGTAAAAATATTTTTTTTAAAATACTATCAATGTATTGAAGTATTTATAAAATTTTTTTGATACAATAAAAATTTTCCTTTTATAAAAACTAGTAAACAAAATTAACTAATAAATTAAAAATAAGGTGATAAAAAATGAGAAAGAAATTTTATCTAATGATAGGATTTTAAGAGTATTCTGAGTAGAGATGCTTTAAGAAATCCCTAGGTGAGAAGATTTTTTAAATATTACCAGTGTATTGAAATATTTATAGAAAATCTTCAATAAAATAAAAATTTTTTCTTAAAAAATCCAAAATAATAATAATAAATAATAAAAATCAATAATAAAATGTGTGCATTAACATATTAGCATTTTTGCATTGCATGCACAACATAATTTTTACAAAAAATAAATCTGAATCTTCGAGGATGAGATTCTAAAGTATTCCGAGAAGCGATGCTTAAAATCTTTAGGTGAGAAAATGTTATTCTAATGTTACTAACGTACTGGAACATTTTAAGAATTATTTCGATAAAAAAGTTTTAATTTATTTTTCTTCAATAAAATTTGAACACTAAATAAGAAAAAATCAAATAACAAAAAAATTTCAACAAACAAAGAAAATCATGAATTTTGTTTTTCAAATACTTAAAATAAGACTGATTTTATTAAAATCAATGGATAACACATAGTTAAGTGGTACCGTTTTTAAATGGGCGCTGTGGGAGTGCTAATCCTTCCCCACATGTAACCGACTCCTGAATCTAGACTATTTCACAGACCATAAAATTATCTTTTAAATAAATTTTAATTAATTTTAAAATCTTATTAAACGGATAAATTTTAATAGGTGGCCAATCGCACCTAGCCAAAAAAGATTGGTGATGACTTCATTTTTTTTTTTTTTCAAATTCGTTGAGCAGACATAAAACCGTTACGACAACTTGGCGACTCCACTGGGGACGTCATTTATTTTCGAGAGCTAGGTCAAAATTAACTACATGTTATCCTTGAATTTTGATTTAAACAGTCTTAATCGGTTTCTTAGATTTTTGTTTTTCACTTTCAATAAAAAAAAGGGTAAAAAATAAAACAAAAAGAAAAAATTCACACACATTTCTTTTACTATGCCTCTTATGCTTTATTTTTTTGTATATATTACTCTTGATAGATTAGGAAACATGTACACATACAATGACATGATACACCTCAATGCATGAGCTCTATACCTGGGCTTTGTCCCTTATAGGAGGAAGTAAATTATCTATGCCCTCGTGAGGTGATAACCTCCGCAATGGCAAGCGAAGTACTTTCACTCAAATTGAACTTTTTTCGTTCGTAGCCTATAATGGGTGAGGATCGAGGTACCTTACTAGTCCAGTGTGGACGACAGTAAAGAACAATTTGAGAACATTTAGATGCATGACAACCTGAACCAAGCATGTAATAAGCCATAAGAAACTAACCTTAGGTAGAGCCATGCCCACCCTCATGTAGAAAATAGCTAGGTCTGGAATGTGTAAGAATAAAAGTTGTGTGTAATACAAAACAAAACAAAAAAAAATATTTTTTAATCTCAAATCGCATCTTCACACTAACTCAATTTTGTTTACATTAATCATATCATACAATTATGCATCAAGATATTTGCTCTAGGACATCTTTCTCCTAAGAAGCCTTCATAGATCCTAAGAACTATAGATTGCTCAAATATCATGTAACAAAAGTTGTATGAAATTAATGAGAATTTCTAGTGTTGAAATTTGTCCAAAAGCAAATATCTTCCACTTGCATTCATACATTATGTGCACCATTTTTTTAAAAAAATCAAAATAAAAAAATCAAAATAAAAAATCAAAAATTTCAAAAAAAAAATGAATTCTGATTTTAAAATTTATGATAATAAAGGTTCAAAAACAGCTCGCCCATCAAAAATTTTGACTTAACCTACTTGTCATTCATACAAAGCTCAAACAAGAATCATGGAACAAGAACAGGCTAGTCAATTTGAGAGGATGGAGAAAGCTCAAGAAGAACTCAAAAAGGATATTGATAAGATAATGGACATGCTCAAGAAACTTGATAAGAGAAAAGTAGTGGAAGGAAATTTAAGCTTTCAAGAGTAATTGCCAGACATGGTGGATCCTGTTTACCCACCAGGGTTTGAGCCACGACTGACCTGACATT